CTTGAGCCACATCCCCAGCCCAATAATACACTTTTATTTTGTGACATTGGGAATTGAACCTAAGGCCTTACATATGCCAGGCAAGGCATTTGATCACTGAGCCACATCCCCAGCCCAACAATAATGTACTTTTCTTCAGGGAAGAGGTACTGGGGATTGAACTCAGGCACACTTGACCACTGAGCCACACCCTAGCCCTATTTTGTATTTTAATTAGAGACAGGGTCTCACTGAGTTACTCAGCATCTCACTGCTGCTGAGGCTGGCTTTGAACTCACAATCCTCCTGCCTCAGACTCCTGAGCCGCTGGGATTACAGGTGTGCACCACTGTGCCCAGCCAGTAATGCACTTTTTACAATAACTTATGAAAATCAAAGGATGCATACTAAATACATTTATAATGGTTGCCTAAAGTAGGGACAGGAATAGAGAATAGAGAAAAAAAATGCATTAAGGAAATGACATGGGCTTTGCAAGGACCAGCGATGACAATAGTATATATAATGCCTCAACTCCCTATACTCAAGACACATTGGAGTGAAATTTCAGAACATCTAGGGCCAATAAAAATTCTACAAGCTGCAGGAGTGGAAGGTGACAAAAAATGAAAAACGGAATAACATCAGACTTCTTATCAGCAACACCAGATTCAGGGAAGAAAATGAAGCAACATATTTAAAAGGCTGTGGGGAAAAAAAACTTCAACTTAGAATTGCATACTGGAACAAATTATCATTCAATGGTAAAAGTGAAATAAATTCATTTTCTGATAGAATGTATGTGATATCAAACATGATGATAAAAAAAGAAGAGAAATGGCAGATGCTGAGAGGTTCAAGAGAGGATGGAGACATGAAGAAGACTACAGGGTGATGTGGGTTATCTATCAAAAAACAAACATATTTCTTAGCACTACAAAAAACAATACCAAAAATATTCAACTGGGTTATTTAAAAATTATAAAGGAGGGCTGGGGTTGTGGCTCCATGGTAGAGCACTTGCCTAGCACGTGTGAGGCACTGAGTTCCATCCTCAGTGCCACATGACAATAAATAAATAAAATAAAGACATTGTGTCCATCTACAACTAAAATTTTTTTAAAAAATTATAAAGAACCAAAAGAAGAATTAAACATGATGATAGAATTCTGTTGGGAGGGATAGTAATGTGTATGAGCTAAATTCTCATTTATCATAGCAGAGAGATGATAAAAACTGTCTAAAGTCACTAAATCGAGAAATAGTAGTGCTCCCAGCAGCTTGGAAGGCTGAAGCAGGAGGATCACAAGTTTAAAGCCAGTATCTGCATATTAGGCAAGGCCCTAGCAAGATCCTGTCTCAAAATACAAAAATAAAAAGTAAAATAAAGCAAAAGGTCTGGGGCTACATCTCAGTGGTTAAGTGCTTCTAAGTATGATCCCTGGTACCAAAAAAAAATAAATAAATAAAAAACAAAAATAAAAAATAAAAAGTAGTTCATCAGGGATTGTGTTTGGAGGTGTATGGGAGAAAACTCAACTAATTTAGGGTTACATTAGAAAGTTTTCTTTTTCTTTCATTGAACAAGCAGTCAGGAGTAGGCAGTCAGAACTCAGGCAGTGGTTGGGAAGGAGGAAATGAATGGGCACAAAAGTGCCAGCTCAATAGGGCGGAAAGGTTCTCAGAAGCCCCACCCACAACCATCTCATGGCCCAGTCCAGCTAACATGGCCTCCCTTACATGATGACCCCTTCAGCAAAGAATGCTGGGAAATGTAGGAGAGTTTTTTCTTTCTTTTTTTTTTTTTTTTTTTTTGTTAGTTTTAAAGCCCAGTACACAGTGACTCCATCAGAATTTGGATTTTGTTTGTAAGGGAAAAAAAAAATGGCTAACTTGGGAGGTTGGATCTCTGAGAAGGATCACTTGAGCCCAGGAATTCAGGGCCAGACTGGACAACAGAATGAGATCCTGACTCTTCCTTAAAAAAAGAAAACTCTGCCTTTAATCCTAGCTACTCGGAAGGCTGAGGAGGAGGATGATTGCAAGTTTGAGTCCAGCCTGGGAAACTGAATGAGATCCTGTCTCAGAAAGAAGAAGGGCTGGTGCCAAGTGTGGTGGCTCACTTTTCTATTCCCAGAGACTCAGAGGCTAAGGCAGGAGGATCACAAGTTTGAGGCCAGCCTCAGCAATTTAGGGAGACCCTCAGTAACTTCATGAGACCCTATCTCAAAATAAAAAAAAAATAGAAAGGGTTGGGGGTGTAGGTCAGTGGTACAACTCTTTCCTAGCATATGCCAGGCTCTGGGTTCAATACCCAATACAGAAAAAAAGGTGGGAATGTATACTGAGTAGGCAAACTGCTATTTCTGCCATGGATAGTGTTAGCACAAAGAGTCCAGACCGTACACAAGCTTCATGGATCATTTCAGCCTTTTATTCAGGAAAGGGACTACACCTATGAGAATGGACTCACTTTCCTGGTGGAAAATGAGCCATTAACAAAGGAGGGGACTGGGCTTATACAGGTTGTGGGTAATTTAGTGAGCATGTGCATTTGGGCAGTCAGAAATTTGAGTTTTGGGGTTGGGAGTCGGTGGCCAGCACCTGGAAAGGAGTTATCTTGAAAGAGATTAGTGTTTTCTTTTTTTTTCCCCTTTTTTAATATTTTTTTAGTTATACATGGACACAGTATCTTTATTTTGTTTGTTTACTTATATGTGGTACTGAGGATCCAACTCAGTGCCTCACATGTGCGAGGCAAGCACTCTGCCACTGAGCCACAACCCCAGCTGGAGATTAGTGTTTTCTAGAGATTATCATTCTAGGTTTGATGAAAACACTTTCTCCTCACCTGTGGCCAGCATCTGAAAAGGATTTAACTTGAAAGAGATGAAAGCTATCCATGTATGGTTTTCTTTTTCATTCCTTTTTCCCAGGTTTCACTATTTTGGGGTTTTACGGGTGTTATAAACATATTGTTTAGAGACAGGAAAATAATTTCAGGAAGAAACAAACACATAAAATGTGCACACATATTAGAAGCAGTTGCCTCTAGGGGTAAGACTAGGGTGGTGTAAGGGGATGTTGTTTAGTTAGCCCTGTTTTACTTTAAAAAAAAAAATCCTTGGGATGGGGGTCAGACTTTCAGATTTTAGCTCCCACTCATCTCTTTCTTTCATTCTTTTTTCCTTTTCTTTCTTGGTGCTGGGGATTGAAACCCCCACATGCTAGGCAAGGGCTCTATAACGGAACTATATCCCCAGTCCTTTATTTTTATATTTTATTTTGAGGCAGAGTCTCACTAAGTTTCTGAATCTGGCCTCAAACCTGTGATCCTCCTGCCTCAGCCTCCTGAGTGGCTGGGATTTCAGGTGTGCACCACCACACTGGGTTTGGAACTTTAGTTTTAGGTTGTTTTCTCTTCCTCAAATAGGGAGACCGAAAAGCATTGTGCTTTGGAGACCAAAAATTTAACCTCCATGAGGTGGGAAAGGAATTTGAACCCAAAGCTGCTCATCCTATTCCAGGCTCCCTGGACTTATGTCTGATCACAGAGGTGCCTTTGGAGGAGATGATCCAGCATCTAAAGGTGAGTGGGACTTCATTCTTCTTGATAAAACCACTGCTGATGCCATAAAAATGGAAGCTTGACTCAGGAGATCTTCAAATCTCTAACATGACCGGTTTCTACACAATCATCCACTCATTTTGATTGACATCATTGTTTCATGTAACCAGATGGATTTAAAAATGAAACTTCAGGGCTAGGGTTGTGGTTGAGTGGTAGAGCACTTGCCTAGCATGAGTGAGGCACTGAATTCGATCCTCAGCATCACATAAAAATAAACAAATAAATAAAGGTATTGTGTCCATCTACAACTAAAAATTTTTTAAATGAAATTTCATGTCACCATTTGTAAGTATATATCTGAGACTGGGGCTGTGGCTCTGTGATGGAGCACTTGCCTAGCATGTGTGAGGCACTGGGTTTGAATAAATAAATAAGTAAAGGTCTATCTACAACTAAAAAAAATTTAAATGTATATCTGAGTTATTTTACGTAAACACAGTTACATAAAAAGAAAACGTTCTACCAACTACGTGAAAAATCCATTATATGTAGTCATAAAGGGAAAGTAATTGTAAAAGCCAACAGCTATAGGGCTGGGAGTGTGGCTCAGTGGCATGACACTTTCCTAGCCCTGAGTTCCATCCCCAGCACTGAGTGAGAGAGGGAGAGGGAGAAAGAGAGAGACAGACAGACAGACAGACAGACACTCTTGCCTAGACTGCCTAGGTATGAATTCTGGCTCTGTTACTTATTAGATCATACTAGATACTTTTTTTTTTTCCTTTTTGTTCTTGGGATTGAACTCAGGGGTAGGTACTATACCACTGAACTATGCCTTTAGTTCTTTTTATTTTATTTTACTTTTGTTTTTATTTTGGGGGATTACCAGGGATTGAACTCAGGGGCAGTCGACTACTGAGCCATATATCCACCCCTATTTTGTATTTTATTTACAGACAGGGTCTCACTGAATTGCTTAGTGCTTCACTTTTGATGAGGCTGTTGTTTTTTTTTTTTTTGCTTATTAAAGTTTTTTTTTATTGGTTGTTCACAACATTACAAAGCTCTTGACATATCATATTTCATACATTAGATTGAAGTGGGTTACGAACTCCAAATTTTACCCCAAATGCAGATTGCAGAATCACGTCGGTTACACATCCACATTTTTACATAATGCCCTATTAGTAATTGTTGTATTCTGCTACCTTTCCTATCCCCTACTATCCCCCCTCCCCTCCCCTCACATCTTCTCTCTCTACCCCATCTACTGTAATTCATTTCTCTCCTTGTTTATTTTCCCATTCCCCTCACAACCTCTTATATGTAATTTTGTATAGCAATGAGGGTCTCCCTTCATTTCCATGCAATTTCCCTTTTCTCTCCCTTTCCCTCCCATCTCATGTCTCTGTTTAATGTTAATCTTTTCTTCCTGCTCTTCCTCCCTGCTCTGTTCATAGTTGTTCTCATTATATCAAAGAAGACATTTGGTATTTGTTTTTTAGGGATTGACTAGCTTCACTAAGCATAATCTGCTCTAGTGCCATCCATTTCCCTGCAAATTCTATGATTTTGTCATTTTTTATTGCTGCATAGTACTCCATTGTGTATAGATGCCACATTTTTTTAATCCATTCATCTATTGAAGGGCATCTGAGTTGGTTCCACAGTCTAGCTATTGTGAATTGTGCTGCTATGAACATCAATGTGGCAGCATCCCTGTAGCATGCTCTTTTAAGGTCTTCAGGGAATAGTCTGAGAAGGGCAATAGCAGGGTCAAATCGTGGTTCCATTCCCAGCTTTCCCAGGAATCTCCAAACTGCTTTCCAAATTGGCCGAACCCATTTGCAGTCCCACCAGCAATGTACAAGAGTACCCTTTTCTCCACATCGATGAGGCTGGTTTTGAACTCTTGATTCTCCTGCCTCAGCCTTCTGAGCCACTGGGATTACAGGTGTACATAACCATATCCAGCTAGTTTATTCTTATTTTGAGACAGGGTCTTGCTAAGTTGCCCAGGCTGGCCTTAAACTTTTGATCCTCCTGCCTCATCCTCTGGAGTTGCTCGTATTACAGAATTGTGCCACCATGCCTGGCCATACTAGGTACCATTATTGTCCCCATTTTACAGATGAGAAAACTGACATACAGGTCAATTAGTTGCTCTACCCAAGGCCATACAACTTAACAGGGTTAATGAATGAAGAATGGCAGAAAATGAGGTGAGAAAATACAGAGGTTTTCTATATGCTTCTAAGATAGTATTAGGAATTGAATTTTAGTTTTTCACATTGACTATGACATATGAACTTTGTCTTCTCTTCCCACTTTAGGCTTGTGATGTCCCCATTGAGGAGGGGCCAGTCCCCAGAACAGGAGCAAAGGGGCCTATTATGTCTGTCTACTTCCGAGACCCAGACAGAAATCTAATTGAGGTGTCCAACTATGTCTCCTTGTGATTGATACTGGTCCTCAGCCATTTTGTTTCCCTCCATGTTACCTTCTCCCTTCCTTCCCAAAAATCCTTGCCCAGGCCCAGAGACCTTCATGGACTGAGGACTTCAGCAGTTCACACATCCTGTTGAGGGCGTGTGAGACAGGTGTGGGACCAAACCTACATGTCTGGATGATCTTCATTCAAGCTGTGCCAAAAAAAAAAAAAAAAAAAAAAACAATGGATAATCCCACCACAGTAGCTCATTGTTCTTTTTGTCTCACCACTTCACCTGGGGTTTGTCTAGGATATGAATTTTCTAAACTCTTTAGAGGTCCGTAACTGGTTAAGACATCTCTGAGGACCAAATGCAGGTCTTTTCCTTGGGATTCAAAACCTCTGACAGATTTCTACTTGTCTGTGATGCATCCTTCTTCCTCCTTATCTGACTTGCCTCATTCCTCTGACTTTTTTTTCCCCTTCACCCTCTGGGCCTCACTGAACCTCTGGATCTATATAATTCCTATGAGATCTTCCAGGACCAGCCCAAATGATGCACCTTCTCCTGGAGAGACTTCTCTGGTCTCACTCTCAGGGCATCTAGCACTTTCTCCCTTATTGAGACTTAGCTGCTGACTGAGTATATGGGATAAGGTCAAGTTTCTTCTGTTTCTGTCCCCCCACCACTGCCACACCTTTTACTCATTTAGTCAACTAAAACCCATATATTGAGCATCTATTGTGTGGTGGGTCCTATCCTAGGCATTAGAGAGATGGTGTTGAACAAAAAGAATAAGTATATCTATGCTTGTGGTGCTGCCATTCAAGTGGGAGAGATAAAAAATCAGTAAAATTAAAAAGGTGTTGGTGGGCTGGGACTGTAGATCTTTGGTAGAGCGCTTGCTTAGCATATGTAGGGCATAGGATGGGATTCTCAGCACCACATATAAATAAATAAATAATCAATAAAATAAAGGTCCACTGACATCTAAAAAAATATTTTTAAAAAAGGATGTTTGGAAGGGAGGACTAGAGAAAGGATGGTTAATGAGTATAGAGGTGCAGTTATATAAGACGAACAACTTCTAAGTTTTTTAAAAAATATTTTGTTATTTTAGTTGTAGTTGGAACCATGCCTTTATTTTATTTATTTATTTTTATGTGGTGCTGAGGATCAAACCCAGCATCCCACACATGTTTGGCAAGCACTCTACCACTGAGCCACAATCTCAGCCCCAACTTCTAAGTTTCTATAGCACAGTACGTTTGGCAACAATTAATTGAATTTTTTGAATGTTCTCAACATATAGAAATAATCTACATCTGGGATAATAGACATGCCAATTGCCTTGATCTGATCATTACACATTGTGTACATGTCTTGAAATGTCATACTGTATCTCATCAATATGTATAATTATTCTGTTGATTTCTAAGAAATTATTAATTAATTAAAAAGAAAGAGAAAAATAAGTAAGATATTAGATATGCTAGAGATCAATAAATACTTTGGAGAAAAAGAAAACATGGAAGTTAGCAGTATAGTTCAGTGGTAGAGTGAATGCTGAGCACATACAAGGCCCTGGATTTCTTCTTTAGCACTAAAAGAAAACACCGAAAAGAGGGGATGCTGATAAACATTGCTGGAGCAGTTTACAATGTTTAATGGGATTGTCCAGGAAAGCCTGACTGAAGAGACATTTGAATACAAACCTGAAGACTTGAGGGATAAACCACACAGCTACCCAGAGGAAGAATGCACCAAGCTGAATAGGCAGTACAAAGGCCCTGAGGCAGGAATGGATGTGGTGTGCATGTGAGGAATAGCTAGAGAGGGGCACAGTAGGAGGAGTGAGAGAGAAAGTTTGAGTAGGGCCTCGTGGACCAAGGTCAAGACTTTGGCTTTTATTCTGAGTGGAGCCACGGGAGAGTCCTGAGCAGAGGGAAGTTATCTGATCCAGGTTTAACCGGCTCCTGCAGGCTACTACAGGGAAACTAGACTGTCAGGGAAGGGCAGAAGCAGGGGTGCCAAGAAGGAGGGGACCACCATAGTGGTCCTTGTGAGCCATGAAGGTGGTGGCAGAGTAGGTGAAAAAAAGGTGATTAAGACTCTGGCAGTAATTTGAAAATAGGGACTGAATGAGTTCATCAAGCAAAAATGTCAGCTAAAGAAGCCTGAGCACCTTTAGAGGTTTGAAACAAGATGAGGTTCAGGCAAGGAGGAAGGGGAAGTGTACAGATGGATTCCTGAATGAATATATGATGAAAGAACATGTGTGAGAGTCTCTTGAAGTAAAGAGGCCCTTAATCTTATGAACTCTGGTCTCTAAATACTCTCCAGCTGGATCCTATGAGTGAACTCCCAGGGACCCGCCCCCTCAAAAAAAAATGCTATAAAGAATGGAAATGTGAGAATGGAAGCTTTGGCACATAAAGGGCTTTGCCAAAAACTGTAGTGAGTTTCCTGTCCAATTTTAAAAGACAGCTTGCCTTGGATCCAAAAATTATAAGCCTGGAGATAAATGATTTACAGAAGGAAGAGAAGGGAAGAGGGAGAGAGGGAGGAAAGGGAGAATGAATGGGCAAATGGGTGGATGGATGAATGCATGGGTGGAAAAGGAGATGGATAGATGGGTAGAGATGGGTACTGTTAGATTTCTATTGCTGTGACAAATACCTGAGATAAATCAGGTATTAAAAGGAGGAAAGATTTATTGTGGATCACTGTTTCAGAGGTTTCAGTCCATGGTCATTTGTCCTGGTTGCTTTGGGCCTATGGCAGCATAGCACATCCTGGCAAGAGCATGTGGTGGAGGAAAACTGTTCACTTCATGACTACTGGGAAGCAAAAGACAGAGAGGAAGGGGCCAGGGTCCCAACATCTCCTTCAAGGGCAGGCCCCCAGTGATTACTAGGCCCCACCTCATAAAGGTTCCACAACCTTCAAATGGTCCCAACTGTTAAAAGCTTGGTTGCTTTTAGGCTAAGTGTGGCGGCACACACCTGTAATTCCAGCATCTCGGGAGGCTGAGGCAGGATCATCAGTTCAAAGCCAGCCTCGGCAACTCAGTGAAGCCCTGAGCAACTCAGAGGGACTTGTCTCAAAATAAAATGTAAAAAGGGGCTGGGGAGGGGCTGTGGCTGTGGCTCAATGGTAGAGCACTCACTCGCCTAGCATGTGCGAGGTGCTGGGTTCAAACCTCAGCACCACATAAAAATAAATACATAAAATAAAGATATTGTGTCCAACTACAATAAGAAAAATATTTTTAAAAGGGCTGGGGATGTGTCTCAGTGGTTAAGTGTCCCTGGGTTCAATCTCTGGTACTGAAAAAAAAAAAAAGCTTGGTTGCTTTTAACTTTGGGGGACACTGTAGACACAAATTATAAAAAATGGATTAAATGAAGTGTGGTATATTAAGTCAATGAATTATTACTTAGCAATAAAATAGAATGAGCTTAAGAGGCCAACATTATTCTGATAAGAAAATCAAAGACATGGGCTGAGGCTGTGACTCAGTGGTAGAGCACTTGCCTCACACATGTGAGGCACTGGGTTTGATACTCAGCACCACGTAAAAATAAATAAACAAAATAAAGATATTGCATTCATCTATAACTAAAAAATATTTTTTAAATAAGAAAATCAAAGACATGACAAGAAAACTATAGCCTGATATCTCTTTTAAATATAGGTGCAAAATCCTCAACAATTACAAATAAATAGAATCCAGCAACATATAAAAAGATTATCCATCATAATCAAGTAGAACTTATACCATAAATGCAAAGTTGGGTCACCATATTAATAGAATAAAGGACAAACAGCACATGACAAAAACCCCTCCATGATATAAACACACTCAACAACCAGAAATAGAAGAGAACTTCCTCAACATGATAAAGGGTATCTACAGAAAACCCACAACTAACATCACACTCCATAATGAAAGACTGAAACCTTCCCCCAAAGATCAGGAACTACACAAGGAGGTCCCTGATCACCACTTCTATTCAACATTAAACTAGAGGTTCTAGCCAGGGCAATTAGGCAAGAAAAAGAAATCAAAGACATCCATGGGCTGGGGTAGTGGCTCAGCAGCAGAGCACTTGCCTATCATGTGTAAGGCACTGGGTTCAATCCTCAACACCACATATGAATAAAGACATAAAATAGAGGTCCATCAACTAAAAAAACAAACAGCATATAGCTATATAAATCAAAGATATCCAGATTTGAAAAGAAGTAATTAAAACTATCTCTATTTGAGAGGACATGATTTTGTACTTTGAAAATCTTAAGGAATACAACATAGCCAGTAGAACTCCATTAGTATTTAAACCCAGCAAGGATGCAAGAGACAAGATTTTGTATGAGGCAAGACACAAGGTTTTGTATGAGACAAGATCATACAAAAACTTAATCATAACATGGATGAGGCAGAGCATGCCTGTGATCCCAGGGAGTCCAAGGCAGGAAGATCACAAGTTCAAAGCCAGACTCAGCAACTTAATGAGGCCCTAAGCAACCTAGTGAGACCCTGTCTCTAAATAAAAAATAAAAAATAAAAAATAGGACTGGGGATGTGGCTCAGTGGCTAAGCACCCTTGGGTTCAATCCCTGGTACTAAAATTGAAAAATAAGAGATATTATTGGATTAAGCATAATCTTATTCTTAGGTCCTATATTGGCTGAGCTAAATTTGTAGCTTGTAGAAATTAAGAAAAATGTGAATAAATATGACAGATCTATGGTAAATTAAAAAATATAGGGGGAAATGATCAATAGAGTAAAGAAGGAAGATCAGCAGGATGGAGGAGGGGAAGGAATAAGGAAGTACTGTGGATTGAAACAGAACAAACTATGTTATATACATTTATGAATATATTAAAAAGAACCCCACTATCATGTATAACTATAAACACCAATAAAAGCATTTTAAGCCCCCAAAATCTATAAAATTATGAAAAAATATATAGCAGGGTTGTGGTATAGCTTAGTAGTAGAGCACTTGCCTAGCATGTGCCAGGTCCTGGGTTCAATCAAAATACTTCAAAAAAAATAGTTGTGCTGTTTTAAGGAGCACTCCAAAAGAAGCACTCCAGCCGGGTGCAGTGGTGCACATCAGTATCCCAGTGGCTTGGGAGGCTGAGGCAGGAGGATCACAAGTTCAAAGCCAACCTCAGCACTTTAGTGAGATCCTGTCTTAAAATTAAAAAGGGCTGGAGACATGGCTC